CATCTAACAACTGCGAACCAGCGCACACAATTGCATGATCATAATCATTGTTAAATACATAACTAAGTTTTGCAGTATTAACATCATTTCTATTGCTAATATTAAATATAAAGCTTTCAGTTGTTTTTTTATACACAAAATCACCACCATTCCAATTTAATGAGTTGTAGCCACCAACTACTTGTTCTAGATTTTGTATTTTATCAATTATAAAAGTCTTATTGATATTGTCATATTTCTGTTTATCATTAAATATGATTGAATTTAAATCATCTCTACTACTATGATATAAAAGTTTAAATTTATATTTTATATCTTTTATTAAAGTATATTGTGGATTTTTTTTATCAACCCAACTTGCAAAAAGTAAAATAGCCTTTTTGCTAATAATTGTTGTTGAATCAATGGTTATTCTTGATTACAATAAATTTGATATTGATAGTTTGTCAGGAGCCAAATAATAACATGAAATATCTTTCCACAAAGTTGTAGGAAATAATTTTTTATATGGCATGATTTTGTCATTAAAATCCTCACTAGTAATATTCAGAAATCTAATTAAGGAGATAATATCTTCAAATATGTTTTCCAATTCTTTGAAATCATCTTCATTTTGCAAGCTTCATAGATCCTTTGACACTTACTTCAATAAAACTCACCTATATAATTATTGAATCAATTCTTTGAAGTCATCTTCATTCAATTCTGAAATATTTTTTTCTCCTACTTTTTCAATTTTTCCAATTTCCCATTGAATATACATGGTCCCCAAATATTAATTTCTTTTAAATTCAAAATGCCTTTTTTTAAAATAGATACTTTTCAATATTTCTGTAATCATTAAATTTTAAGAAATATTCTGCTGTATTATTAATCAAGCTTTCAAAATAATCTTAAGTATATTAAATGATTGATATCTGAATGAAGTTTGATATAGATTATTTAGATTTTCTGGAACCCATTCTTTCTCTTTTGCAATTAGTTGATTCTGCAAATCATCAAGTAATTCATTGAAATCTGATTTATTAAAATTTAATTCATCACACACAAGGAGAAGTTCAACAATTTCATTCGGATTCAAATTATCTATGTCAACAAATCCATTATAAACATGCTTTTTTTAAAAAACAAAGTTTTTTTATTTTAATAATTTTAGATCTACTGTATAATTAATCAAATTTAATCATTTAATTAAATTAAATTAAACTAATCTTACATTAAAATAATTCCAAATGTCTTTGGAGATATATTGTCTTTTTCAAATAAAAAATTATCATCTTCAGACTTTTTTGCCTAATTATTTGATAGGGCAGCCTTAAAATATGAGGACCTTGCTTTTAAAATGCACGAATGAGCATTGAAAATTCTAATGTCATCCTGTTCTGCTCTAATTTTAATTCTGTATCATAAAAATCTGATCCAATTAACATTTTTTTTAGATCATTTGTAAGCTTATTAACATGATTTGAAGGTAAAATAATTTTGTTGGAATTGAAAAGGCTGCTACTATATTAATCATTTTAAAATTTTGCGTTAGATTTGATTTATTATTACTTACTAACTAGATCTTGGACTAAACAAAATAACAAGCAATAATAGTTATAATAATACTTACTTGTATACGGGAAAACATCCTTGATGATCGATGCAGCCTCAATAAACTCCAGGGCCCGTATTACCCCTGGAATTCTGTTGCATCATTGTATCATCGATCCATCAGGTCAGATTAGCCTTGTGCACATGAGGAAGATGTGAGAGAATGGCTGTAAAGTGTTCAAGGTAGTATGCGTGCTTCAACACTTGCCAATTTCTGATAATCAAACATCGCATATTTGAATTGTTTCTTTTGCAACAGTCAATGCTGCCTTGACATCTTGTAATTATATATTAATAATAGTATTATTACGATTACAAAAAGCAAAATATTATCAATGAAAATCTTGTAATTACCCAGCAAGATCTGCTCCGCGTTTTGATTTCCAATTAAAATATTTATAAGCTAAAATAAAAGTCACCTCATACATATCAATACAAATAAAAAAAAGTACCTCTAGTTAGTTATTAACACGTTTTCTTTAGGAGACCCGAACCAAACCAAACAACAACACTCACGTTTTGTCACCTTGGACACTGTCAAAAAATAAATTGTTTTTTGTTTTTCCAAAAAAAAAAATCAATAAATACGCATCTGTCCTCCCAAAAAAAAAAAACCAATAGGATAAATAATTAGTGTGTACGCGTCGATCAAATCACAAACTTCTTTTAAACATGCCCAAAGAAAATAAAAAGGAAGCAAAAGTAACAATCAAGAAAACATCGCTGGGTAAGTGTTTTAAGGTTGGTGGTAGTTATCGCCCGCCACTCGTCGTCGTTACTCTAGTTTAAAGTAAGTTTAATTTGTTTATAGATCCTTTATTCAAAATGTTATTTATATTTTCTTCTAAAATAATTAATATTTATTTTAAAAATTTTTTTAAAGATATATATATTCAGAAACCATCAATTTAGATAATTTAGATACATCTGAAACTATTGAACTTCTTGAAGCATCTGATGAATTAGATTTTAAAACTACAGATTATATACAAAATCATCTAATTGATTTAACTTTGGAGAGAGAAGAATGGATCAAAAATAATTTTACTTATTTTTATCAAATATCATTAAGACATCAATCATTTAATTTGCTTAATGATTTCCTTGAAACATTGGTTATGAATAATCCAGAATTACTTCTAAAGTTCAATGATTCCAAAAATGTTGAAAAGCCAATATTAATATCATATTAAACAATGATGATCTTGCAATAAAGGAGATTGATTTTTGGGATTGCATAATCCAATGGGGAATTGGAAATTTGGAAAATTTGGAAAGAAAAAATATTAAAGAATGGAATAAAAATGATTTTAAGGAGTTGAAATTTTTACTAGAAGATATTGTTTCTTTAATTAGATATAAGGATATCTCTAGTGATGATTTTTTTACAAAATTGTACCATATCAAAAATTCTTTCCTAAGAATTTATGGAATGACCTTTTATGTTATCATTTAGTCCATAATCAAAACCCGATTTTAAATTTATTACCATCAAGAAATTCACCAAAGATGCTAGAATCAACAACAATCAATCCAGAACTTACTTTGCTTTTTGCAAGTTGGATTGATATAAAAAGCTCACCATACAATTTATTCAGTGAAGTTAAATATAAATTTAAACTTTTATATCATAGTAGTAGAGATGATTTAAATTCAATCATATTTAATGATAAATGTAACAAAATCAGCAAGTCTCTTGTAGTTGCTAAAATACAATCAGATCTATTAGTAAATTCAGATCAATTAGTTGGTGGCTATAACCCACTTGATTGGAATGGAGGTGGTTATAAAAATACAGACAAAAGTTTTATTTTTAATATTTGTAATATAAATGATATTAGTATATCACTTAAAATAACAAATGGGATATTATAAAGTTGTTAATTATGATCACATTACAAATGACTAAATTTTGATCCCTGAAATCTTTGGTAATACCAATGTTCACTTTGTCTGGTTTTGTTACAGTATACCCCATATGTTATTTCTTTATATCTTTTTCACAATCTTGAGCCCCATTCTTAACAGTTTCCCCTGGATTTCTGTCATTGAGATTCTTGACTGGAAAGGGCTCTGTATGAGTGAAACTTGTAATTATTTCGGGTTCAGCCATGGGGACTTGTACAGGTATGAA